TGTCTGGTTCCCGCCCTCTGCATAAGCCACACCTCCAGGGCTGTGACGCCCCGCCCCACTTTGCCTCCCGTAATAAAGCAGCATACTGGAGCAGATGAAAGGTCCAGCAGAGGAAAAATCGGGTGTTAAATGAAAAGTGTTAATTATTCATTATGCATTGAGTTTATAAAAACCCAAAACAGTTATATCTCAAAATTATTAATAATATTAATGAATGAACCCAACATTAGCAGTTTGTTTATACATAGCCGTGTGTGATCATAGGCATTAGAGGACTTACGAGGACAGTACGACAGCGACGGCATCATTCAGGACACTTTCTCCAAACAGCAGAGCGTACAGGTCAGAATCCACGTGCAGCTCATTGAAGATGGCCAGAACTGTCACTACAAAACAAAGCATAAATCAATGCCTTCGCTAAGCCCTGCGTTAACAACATTACTGACCGATCCTGCTTTAGCAACTGTTGCCGTCATCAGACATGCTTTTTCTCATGCATTTTAATGCAATTTCTAATGGAAGTCCTGAGTGTATGGATAGTAAATTGTTAGAGTAAGAATAACATCCATTCAATTTAGGTGCAGGTTTTACTGAAGATTGCACTTTTAATAGCATTCTCACATTCATTGGGAAGCTCTGTGCAGCTTGTCTTAGTGAGCAACAGTAACCAAGGGGGGCCGAGCTTTGAAAAGGGACAATTTTAAAGATAGATCAAATTGCTCTTATTTGTAACTTAATTATAATCATTTCATAACAAGAAATAGCATAGTGCAGGTAAATTCTGCTACAGCAAGGCTTAGTTTCTAGGAGTTACATGACACATCCCTCTTGCAAAAATTTGTAGATAAAGGGATTTGATTAATACACACCAAAACACTCATGACTGCATTTATGCACTGTTACAGAGAGTCTTGACTGTAATACCTGGGTCAGTGGCTGAGACAATGGCACCAAAGAAAAGGCAATCAGTGAAGAAGAAGTCACCACCCAGCTGGCCAATTTGCTTCATCAGCGTCACACAGCCGTACATTAACAACCTGAAAAGCAAACCGCACACCTCTGAGAGCTGGTTCTCACCCTCATCATTAAAGCAACCCCTCAAAATAGTACTGAAAAAAGACTGACCCAATGATGAAACAAGACACCACGGTTCCCACAAATGCATAGACAAGAATGGAGCCCAAGTTCCTGAAGAAATGTCTCTAAGAAAACAGATAGAGAAGAAATTAATTGAATAATGGCCTTTGATTTGTCTACGTTGAACACTACATGATCTTGTGCACACAACATTTGTCTGTATTAATAAATAAAAAACAGCCCTTACTCGTTTTAAACTGTATCCAGCATGAAAAATGATGGGGGGCAAGAGAATATTAAAGAAGACCTCTGGATCAAAGGTCACCTGAAATAGAATTAGAAAGATACAGATATAGGCATTTCATTCACCGATGAGAAAATAAGAAAAAAAGGTTTATATCTTTTAATGTTTTAGAAATAATTATCTTGTGCTCACCAAGGCTGCCTTTATTTGATCAAAAATACAGTAATATTGTGAAATATTATTACATTTTTTAAAAAATAATTCTATTTTTAAATGTAATTTATTCTTGTGATGCAAAGCTGAATTTTCAGCATTATCACTCCAGTCTTCAGGGTCACATGATCCTTCAGAAATCATTCTAATATGATGATTTAATGCACAAGAAACATTTATTATTAATATCAATGTTGAAAACAGCTGTGCTGCTTAATATTTTTGTGGAAACCATTACATTAATTCTAGGATGAATAGAAAGTTCAAAAAAGAAAAAGTACAAAAAATTAAAGTAGCACTTTATTTTACAGTCCTGTTCTTCGTGTACATACTATGTACTTATTATAGTATTTGCAATAACTGGGTAATAACTAGGTACTAACCCTGAACCTACCCCTAAACCTAACCTTAAACCATGTATTTCCCAGTACTTTATTAGATAAGTAGTACACGTAAGTAGTGCACGTACTGTAAAATAAATTGCAACCAAAATAGCTATTTCCTCTTATTAGTGGTTTGACTGGAGCAAAGTGTTCAATAATTGAGTATAATGTGACTTTCTATGCACATAAAATTCAAACATCTAATGTAATTATCATACATTTCAACAACTAAATTATGCAATTCTTAAACCCCATATTGTAACCGATATAGAAGCAGTTTCAAGCATCTGTCACCTGAGGGACATGTTCTAACAGAGAATTATAGTTTTGAGACTGAACCAACCACAGATTACTTCTGTCAGGCACTGAATTAGTATGTGTGAGAAAATTTAATTATTGGTACAAAGTTAAATCAGGAATTTGCCTGAAGCATCTGAAAAAACATAAATGAGTTCAGCAAAACAGACTGGATATCCATCTAAAAATACAGATGCAAGTATGAGTCATATTCAAATAAATTCCCCATAGCATTTGTGGTTGAAGTCAAGCGTTCGATTCAAATTCATCTGAATATGTGTTGTAGGTCAAACGACTCCTCTATGATTGTTGTGATGTGATATTTTACCTTGCGGAGCATCTCGTTGTCCTGAATGTCATTGATTTCATTGGCACCGATCTCTCCTTTCAATGTGTACTCGTAGAACTTACCACTGACATTCATCAGCAGTGTAGCTGGACTGGCATTGACATTACAGCTCAATGTAATATTGTTCATGTTGCTGGGCACATGAATAGCATAACGCAGTACGACACCCACAAGCAACCCTGATGAGAGACAGAAAAATTGCATTTTATTAAAATGGTTCTGTTTTTATGTATTCATTTCTAATTCCAAGGCAAATATTCAAAGTCAAACCGCAGTAAACAGCCTACCAAGACTTTTCCCAGCATCACAGGGGCTGAACTGTATGGAAGCTTGTTTCTTACACTGAATAAAAAATAAAAAAGGTAATTGAGACTTTCTATCTAGCAATTCTGAAAAAAAAAGTCAGAATTGCGAGATGTAAACTCGCAATTATCTTTTAAATTGTTTAATTCTGTGGCGGAAACAAGCTTCCATAGAATTGACACCCACGATGCCCAAAAACGCTGTCTGAGGCCTGTGGGCAACTCACAAGATTTTTTAAAGAACATCTGTTTTGTGTACCAGGGCTATTATCGTTACTAAAAGTAAAACTATTAAAAACACTTTGTTTAACTAAAATAAAACTAAATCAAATGTAATTATAAACACATATAATAAAATAATATTATTCAATATAAAAACCTTTAAATGAAAATGAGAAAAACATTGCCTTTGCAGCAAACTGATATAAGTTTAAGTTGAAGCACTAAAATTACAAACTGGAAATTAGTAAAAAACTAAAACTTCACTTAAAAATAAAACTTTAAATTGGCTGCATTGGTTTTTAAAGCAGCCAGCATATGCAGGGAACGCAGGAAGGCAGATTAACTCCTGCTGGACAGCTACACCTTACAGGCCCTGTGCTAGAACTCCCACACTGCCCTTTGAACAGTCATGTTCATACATGGCGTACTTAAATGAACAGATCCCACTTTATCTCGGGAAACATGCTGCTGACTTCACAGTTCATATGTGCGATCAGTCAAATTATCTGATATCACGACTGTTCTCACCATATATCATAGCCAGTCCAGTCTCGTGCAGAAACCTGAACCGGCGGTGTTTGAACAACCATATGGTCAAGATTGTCAGGGTAAGGAGCAGGATAAAGATCAGCAGGTCGGCACTGTCTTGTCTGTGGCTTTCTTCAGCTTTTTTCTCTGTCACGATGTTCTCCATCGAACTGTCTTCAGCTCTGCTCAGACACAAGCAGAGGGAGCTCGCCAAAACAAACAGAGTCAGTCTTCTCCAAACACTCATCGCGGCGTTCATTTCACATGTAGAGCCCATGTTGGCATTTCTTTTAGATGCAAAAGATATAAGAAGATGAATGCACTATGCTCAGGATCGCTGAACACAGGCAGGAGTATTAGCAGATACAATCACATAGGCTGCTGAAAATTGTTCCTGATTCCCAGCGACGTCCCGCCCACTGCACGTGACGTCACATGACAACTCAACAATGTGTTCGAGCAGTTCGTATTGGGCAAACGCTGCGCATGAGGGTCGTTTCTTTTTATTCTGCATAGTCATTGTCGAACAATCTATATAACTATTAGGGCTGTCAAATCGATTAATCGCATCTAACATAAACATTTTTGTTTATATAATATATGTGCATACACACACACACACACACACACAAATATATTATATAAACAAAAACCTTTATGCTTAGATGCTGTGATCAAGCGATTTGACAACACTAATAACTATACATATTTCAAATGGTTTAGAGCTACATTCATGATGCAATATTCCTATAATGACAAGTTCAAATCCCCATGCACTCCAACTTTTTTTGTATAAAACCCTCATATCTCTTTAAACATTTTCCTGAACTGCCAAATTTATATTTGAGGCGCATACCCTCAGAAACTGTTTTGATAATTATATTCACTAGTTAATTGTGTGTACAACTGTAGTGGCAGTGAAATAATAAAGTAATAATATGGTGTAATAAATAAATAAATAAATAAATACATACATACATACATACATACATACATACATAAATCAGCAGTTAGTTTTATATTATATGTTGATTTTAGGTAGACTACAGGTGATTAGATTACTTTTGAAAACAATTTTTTATCTATCATGAAACGAATATTTTTAGGTAAGTATTACATTCATAAATGAAGATAAAAAAGATAAAAAAGAAATACATTCTGTACAGTTCTAATTTTAAGATTCTGGGTCAATGTAGAGCTTTATTTTATTCAGTTTTTTTTTTTTTTTTTTACTGTAGAGACTTTTGGGTTAAAATTAATATTGGAATTTGTGTGTTAATATTGTACGTAGTTAATTCTGTAATTATTTTTGTTATGTTCCCCTAAATTCGCTACGTATGTCTCTTTAAATGCACGTTTAAAGTGGCAGAGGGCAACCGGAAGTGCGGCGGTGATGGTGATGACGCAGCGCTCATTGAGGAGTGCTTCACGCGCCCAGCATTGGCTCGATCGGTTGTGCTCGAGTTAAAATGGCTTCGTCCTTTTGGAAAGGTGTTGTCGGTGTAGGCCTTTTCGCCTTGGCACACGCAGCTTTTTCAGCGGCACAGCGTAAGTATTGTTCTTCCAGAAACGAGAGTGAATTGGACAGACATGTAGTTGTTTAGTAAGCTGTAACGTTAGCTGATAGTGGTCCGGCGGTGAGTGCGGCCTCTCTGCAGAGCTCAGTGTGCATGGCAGTTTCAGCAGGACTCAAACCCGAGGGAGCTTCCTATGTAGAGAGCATTTTAGAGAGAGTGGGAACACGTAGGCTATTATGTCCAAAAATGCTGTCTTGGTCGGCAGCTCACTAGGTTTTGTCACTCAACATTTATATCAGCACAATACACGGGATGAAGTTATTTTCTACCATAAATCACTTATCATGCAGTCTGACTGAGACTTGTGCAAGATCAGTGTTTGTGCGGTGCGTGTTGAGTTTTATCGGGGCGTTTATATAACGCAGTATGATTGGTATTTCAGTAGATATCGTTACTATGTAAACTTACATTATTCAAACCTTCCCTAAAGGCAATGTGTTGATTAACCTTAACTAAGGAACTAAACGACGATTAAATGAAAAATAACTCGCAACCAGAATTGGTTTCCTTTCCAAATAATGCAATTTCACCTGCTATTTCTGCAGTAGTGATGTCAGAATCTCTCGTTTGAGTCGGATCTTTTTATTGAAAAGATTCGTTCACGATTCACATTGAGCGATTCTATAACATGTTCAACTCACAGCTTTCGACTCATTGAACCGAGAGCCGTCTCATTCGAGCATGTCTGACTCGTGAGCCGACAGACGAATAAACTTTTATTTAAAAAATAATTAAATAAAATCCTTTGTTAAATCTCTTCAAATAACAAACAGATGTTATCACTGCTTTCTAATCCAATCACTGTGTTTAATTAAAAATTAAACGCACACACACACACACACACACATATATATATATATATATATATATATATATATATATATGTTTGTATATATTAGGGCTGGGTATTGACACAAATTTCACAATTCGATTTGATTTCGATTCGATGCAATATTGATTATTTTGGATATCAGGTACAATAGCTGCTACATGGCAAATTTTCTCAAGAAAAAGTAAACTATGGGAGTCAGTTGTAGCCTACTAGGCTTCATTAGCCTACTAAAATATTGTTAATAATTATATACTGGTTTGTTTACAAACACTTAAATTACACTTTTATTTATTTTTATAATAATAAAGTTATTAAATATAAACATTTAAATGGTGGCTGTCATAAAAACTTGCCAGATTTATTCAAACATGCATTAAAGCTGCAGTAGGGAGTTTTGAGAAAACGTTGACTTAGCCTGAAAATTTGAACAAGCACAACTTATAGGTCCCACCCCCTCTCTCTGCTGCGCTACAGCCCTCCCTCCACAGCTCGTCCTCCACAGCGGAGCCTGTCGTGAACGCGCAGGCTAGTAAACAGGGCCACCCATAACGGCGGATAAAAAGTTATATGGCACATTCACTAATAGGGATTAAACGTCAATAATATGCTTTACATTGACTATGGCCTGCCCATACTTTGACTACAAACTTGGTCCTCAAATCATTATGTATTTTCCAATAGCCTACATGTAATTTTATAACGTTGCACTCTTTCTATAAGTTATAAATAGCTAGTAAGATAACGGTAACTAACGTTACAGTATGTAAGTAATTATTCTAGCGATGCTAGATAAGGTGTGCTAGTACATTATTTCAGCAACATGAAAAGCCAGTGAATTAGCAGGTTTCAATTGTTGCTTAGCAAGAGTGCGTGACATTTTATCTACATGTTATGCGGCTAGAGTTTTGACACCGAGTCAACTGTGTAATTCTTTATTTTTCGCTTGGTTATCGTCATCAGTCTTTTTCCTTTTACCTCTTTGTTTTATGAGCAGGTGTCACTCGAAAATTGGCAGTTTAGGTTGTTTCTCCGTCATAAGCACAGCTGCAGCTCGCCGGCAATCTTGAGTTTGAACGACGGCTCGTGCAACGCGCTGTGCAAGAGAGGGGTGTGATCAGCGCGTACACGAGCGTGACTGACAGTGCTAAGACATTCCTCCTGGCTCTGATTGGTTGTTTCTGACCGGGAGCGTGTATTTCTTGCTAATGGCAATAGGACCACTGGGAGGAGCCAGAGGAGCTTGATTTTTACACAGATTATCTGTCTCATATTCTACTGTCAGGACATAATGACAGTTTTAGCGAATACATGTTTTCAAAAGTTACCTACAGGAGCTTTAAATATTGAAGAACATTAAAAATTATAATGGATATGTAATATGGTGCATATATTTAGCAAAATGCTCCTCTTTAGAGTTAATATTTCTAGCTGATAACGAGTTTATGGTCACTGGATATTTTTGTTTTTTTCTGAGGTAAATGTGAAGTTACATTGTTTACAAGGTGTTTTACTGACGTCTTTCCACGGTTGAAACACTGATTGAGCGATTCCATGTGACATGATACGGATTTTGATAAGTTGTACTCCATCTTTTAAAGGGGTCATATAATGGTACATGCAATTTTACAAGTTGATTGTACTGAAATGTGTGTTGGCAGTGTCTGTACACAACCATCATATAATGATAAAAATCCATCCAGTGTTTTTGTTTTAATCTCCTTATGTTTTCCCCTGCCTCAAATCGAGCCGTTCGAGCCTGTGACGTCACAGGCTCGAACGCCCCTCCCGCAATTGTTGAATGACAGCCGGGTTTCAACACAGACCCGCCCTCGCTCGTGAGCCAGCTGTCAATCATAGTCTGCGCGGACCGGCGCGGTCATTGTTGATAAGCTGGAGCACTGTCTATGAGCAGAATGGCGTCTAAGCGATTGTGGTGTTCTGTTCTTGGGTGTAATAACGAACACAGCAGTCATTTTAATGTTCCTAAATCCGAACCGCCGAAGACGCAGTGGCTGTGTTTGATTTCAAAGGGAATATTCCCCACGAGCAACGTCAATGCTCTCATGTGCGAATCATTTCACACACCAGACTGCTTTATAAACGAGGGTCAGTATAAAGCTGGATTTGCTAAGAAGCTGCTCCTGAAAAAAGATCGGTACCAGATATTCGTGTTCCTGCTGAACCTCTAGAACAACTGAAGTGAGTGTAAGGTTTTATTAAACTTTATATTAATATTTATATTAATCCTTGTAAATCGCTAGCTGCACGCTTCACAATGAATGCGTCTAAGTTTACACTCAGGGTACATTACGGCATGTTTTCTATGTATGACGTTCTCAATATAATGCATAATCCCACGTTTATACTGAACAACGTGTTATGGTTATTGTGTTACAAACGGTGTACGCCAGAGCCGGCTCTGGTGTACACAGAACAGAGAGGCGGGGTGAGCAAAGCTCATGATCATTTAAAGGCATATACACTGAAACGGCGTGCTGAAAACAGAGCTGTTTTTTACCAGGTAAAATAAGTGTTTTCATACAATATTAATGAGAATTTTTAATTAAAGTATATTACAAACTTTTAATTTAGACCCTAAAGAATCATATTAGCTTGTACAAAAATGGCATTATATGACCCCTTTAACACACTTTCAGATGCTCATTCATGTTTATTTCACGCTGTAACTGGTATTATTAAGGCAGAAGAGGAGATCATGTGCGCTCCGCGCTGCTGCTTCTGAGCTGAGCCAGAGCGATCTCACGCCACAGCGCCAAAACGGTATTTATGTTTTTGAATTTCGTAAGAAAATGGACGTACTTAGAAATCTGGGACTTTGTTTCATATCAATAGTGACAAAGCACAAAGATTATTGCGATTTATTGGATGGGATGAGCGCTACAATGTTCCATTCATTCGTCAAATGAAAACAGGATGACTAATCGATTCTTGGGATTTAAGAATCGATATCGGTTCGTAAAAATGAGAATCGATTAAAATCGAGAAATCGATACATTTTTTACCCAGCCCAATTATATGTGTGTATGTAAGGGATAATGTAGGCTACATCTACCTTCGCTTCGGGGTCCTCATCACCCTGTCGGGGTTTATTTTGAGAGAACAACCGGCTGGATGTACATTATCGCTTACGTGGCGTCTATTTACTGTATGAATTCGAGCACGAGTCCTCATCCTTTGGGAGTGCATGTAAAGTGGATTTGCAGTGCTGAAAACGGCGTCTTCTCAACATGTCGTTAACACAACCCAAACTCTTCCAGCTACAACTACAGTGTTTGAGGTTGGCCAAAGTATGGACTAAGTAGACGTTGTTTGCAGCGAGCCATAGGCTGGCTTTTAGGGATGGGCATTTTTCAAAAATATTGTTAATTTAAATTAAGTTGAACAAGAAAGACGTTATTTTTTAATCATTATGATTTTGTCACCATTTGCGCTTACCTGCAGTCGTGAATGCAGTGATAAGCAGCTGTCTTTCCTCATTTGACTGGAGTTTTGGATTTCATGGTGGTGATATGATCACTCAGTTTCACCCGACAATGTTTACACAACATGTTGATCCATTTGATCAAAAGTAACTCCATTTTGTAAGGTCATTTAGTAAAATTATTTTGATCAAAGTAATTCCAAACTTCACTGCGCCTAGATGCAGACAATGATCAAATACAATCAACTTTACAAGCTCCATAGCGCCTCCCAGTGCATTTAGTGTACGTTTACACGACAACGATGTACTAAAAACGGAAAGGTTTTTTCTTTGTACAGATGTCAACATTGTCAAGTCAAAATGATCCCCATTCACACGGATCCGTGAAAATGACTAAAACAAGGTATTATTCGTGCCAGGCCAGTAGTTGGCGATGTCACTTTGTAAAGAAACACTACGCACCTAGACTAAACACGTAATACGCATGTGCATGCCATCACCGTTTTCACAGATTCACGTTTTTGTAGTTTTCAAAAACTTACACTTAACCCGTTTTCAAAAGTTTGCATTTTCAGGCCCCCAAAGCACTGTTGTCATGTAAATGAACGTCCAAAACGCATATAAAGTTTTCTGCTATTAGTTGAAAATGGTGTCGCTTAAACTGCCACTTAGTTATAACTGAGTTTTAGTTTGCGTGCTAATTTTACTACATTTATGACCAGCCAAGCAACATGTGTAGTGATTCGAATAATATTATTATTTTTCGAAAATTCATAATTACAGATCGAATATTCGTCTATTCGTGCACACCCCTTCTGGCTTTATGCTAATTTTTTACTAACCTACGTAGATATGTTGCGGAAGTGAGACTGAAATTGCTGACGACTCGTTTCGCCAGTTCAGAATTTATCCTTTCTTTTAGGAGACAATAACCTTGTTTTTTGTGCACTTTGGCCATAAAATATCTGTAAAATTGTTAAGATCAGTTTCACAGACAAGACTTAAGCTTAGTCCCAGACTAATATATGTTTGAACTGTGTTAACTGAAATACAACTTGTACTGACATATCTTAAAATATGGCAGTGTCGTTGTTTTGTCTCAATATGCACATCAGTAATGTTTAAGTTTATAAAAGCTACTTAAATGTCCTAATTGAACTACAGCCTAATCCTGGCTTAATCTAAGCCCTGTCTGTGAAACCAGGCCTTAAACTCTCAAACAGCTACATTACACATGCATGAAAGGTAATATTTAAAAAAAAACATAAGGGCACTTAATGTGACTGGGATGTCAGAGACCATAGGATGATGTAATTTATAAACTTGAGCAAATGTGCCCTTTGCAAAAAAAATAATAAATCCAGTTGTAAAGTTAAATAAAATAGCTTTTAATGTGCAAGAATGGTTGTATTGTGTTGCTTCCGACTCTGTAACTCTGCAAAATCACTTGTTATACACCTTTGTTTAGAGGGAATAGTTTAATACCTCTCATTCATCCTAAAAAGATATTTTCTTTTTCTAGACCGATCCTACATGCGACTGACAGAAAAAGAGAATGAAACATTACCTATAGATGTAAGTTGCAATCAAATACCAGACATTTTGATCATATTGAATCGCATGCATTTGTTTTCCTCAATACAGCTTCTCTTGTGTTGTGTTTTCAGATAGTGTTACAGACTTTGCTGTCGTTTGTGATCACGTGTTATGGCATAGTACACATCTCAGGCGAGTTCAAAGACATGGATGCTTCTTCAGAGCTCAAAAACAAGTAAGCTCATAGACCATAAAGTAATGCCTGGCTATATCAGAAATAGGCTGTTACTAATGAAACTTGCATCGAGCTCACTTATGTCTCTTTATTGTTTGCTCTAACAGGACATTTGACACATTGAGAAATCACCCGTCGTTCTACCTGTTCAATCACCGAGGCAGAGTACTCTTCTGCGCTCCGGAGCAGGAGACCTCCACTCCAAGCCCCCAGGCCTTACCATCCAATCCCCTGCGGTTACGCAAGCTGGAAAACTTTCATTGAGACTGGCCTTCTGTGGGCTGCCTTGCCCGTTTTCATTTTGTTTTTCTTAAATTTATTTGTTAGCTCCTCGGTTGGAAGGAAAATAAGCATATTTTCCTGTCTTTATGTATATGTGAATATGCTGTACAAACACGCATCTCTTGTGGTTACTATTTGTCAATGGACTGTGCCAACTCCTTTTCCAGCTGATATGTTTGTAAATACTTGTTATTGCTTGGGAGTCTTAAGTCTGTAGGTTACGGCTGTAGCCCTCCGGTTGGCTGTCGCGCACAGGGCACGAATCCTACCGTGTACAATGTTGGTTTGCCATGTTTTTTGGCTAAACTGAACCCCCAACTGCAAAAGGTTCTTCCCTGTACCCTTCTTAATTGAGGTCGATATTGTGGACCATAAATTGTTTTTGTGTTCAGAAGCAGTAGCTCTGATTGCTGAAATTCTAATTTGAACTTATTTAAATAATACTGAGAATGATTAAAACATGTCTGAGCAGGGCCACAATAGATGTAGAATAATAGCAATTCTAACAATACTGTGAACACTCAGTGGGAATGAATGGTACTTGTTTGGGGGGTGGGGGGTGGGGGGTGGGCAGAGGTTAATGTTTTCTGATTGATTTCATGTTGAGACACAACTCCTTATTTCTACCTTAATAAATTCTAAAATTTTATTGATGAATTTGTAACTTGGATTAAAACCACTTATTTTTGCCCCTTCATTTTATAAGTCTGGTTTATCCTGAATGTGTATGAAACTAAAAGAGATGATACGATTAATTGTTCATTTTACGCTATAAAGATTGTTATGCAATGTCAAGACTTGCTAACCGGCCAAAACGTTTTTGTCATGTTATAATGAATTTTATGCTTGGATCTGGAGGATTCAAGGACATGGTTGTGGTAAATCAACCTGGTTATGCATTGTTTTCCATGCAAGTAAAGAATGGGCAGTTGGTCCAGAAACGGTCCAGTTTAAGCCTGTAATTATACTAATCCTTCACTAAGCCCCTTTTTTGTTAGAGGAGACCTGCTAAGTACCTGCAATGGCAACCCACTTATCCCAACACTATTTAGTCTCTTCTGGTATTAATGTGACATTGATTTAAACTGATAAAGATCATATTACCTTTTGTGAGATAATACTTGTGTTATTAGTACAACTTTAGTGTATTTCTACTGCTGTAGTTTTACTTTGACATCGTAAATCAAATATTTGAGACCCATTCACACCAAAGACTATAACGATAAATATGTAGTTCTAAAAATAGTTTTGATTATAAAAAATTAGCGGAGTTCAGACCACAACTGTAACGATAACGGCAGGCACAGAGAAACAATGTCGTTGGAATCGCTTTCAGAAGGATTTGTTTAAAATGATGAATGATAAAAAACATGTCCACCATTTCTGCTGGAATTTGCTAGCTTCTCAGCTTGCTCATTTCACCCTCACAACAGATGGTGTATTTTGGTACTGAGTGCTAAGTTTTTATCAGCCTCGTAGTGATGTCCCCGTCATAATGTAACATTAAGCCCTGCAATGAATCAGGCATTGCAAAACTAACTAGCACTAATGATGCAAACAGTGACACCATAATAGACGATCACGTCTATAAATGAGAGGAGAGGTGCAGGTGTTGAAAGAGAAAAAATGACTACAGCTACTTACAGGGGGTTTCAGCTGGTATCTATTTGGGCCTTAAAAGCACGTTCTTAAATTCATAAAGTCATGGCATTAAATGTTGCACATACTGCAAAAAAACAACGTTCTTCCTCAGTCTGTTGTCTTGTTTTCCAGTACAAATATCTAAACATTCTTAAATCAAAAAACAAAACAAAAAATTTGGAGAATCAAAATGAAGATATATATTCTTGTTTTCTGTGAAATTAAGAACAATAAATAAAATAACTGTGTTTACAATTAAAACAAAAACAAATATGTCAATGGGTTTTGAATTAAGCTTAAAATTAAGTAGATTTTTCTGAGCCCATTGGCAGATATTTTTTTCTGTTTTAATCATACTTCATTTTGATCAATTTCACAGAAAATAAGACTTTTTATTTAATATCATTTTGCTTCTCAAGTAAATGAATCTTTTTAGATATTTGCACTGGAAAACAAGACAAAAATACTGAGAAAAATGATTAAAAAAAATGTTCTTTCTTTGCAGTATGATCATGAATGATTCCCTAAATGTTCTTTTCTTGGTCTCAAAACGTCTTTAAAAAGTCTTAAATCCCTTTATAAAATCTGCAAAAACCCTGCTTAGTGTGTGGGGTTTAATAAATGGTTAAGAGGCCTATTAAAAAAGGACAAAAGCATACAAATATTCAAAACTGTATAAAATCTTGTAAATTAAAGCAGATTATATACTTCAACCAATGCATTAATAATTTCAAATTCAGTGGATTCTGTGCAAAATATCAACTTTAAAGACAACCATTTTATAATATATACGTACATTACCGTTCAAAATTTTAGGGTTAGTAAGATTTTTTTATATTTCTGAAAGAAGTCTCTTATGGTCACTAAGGCTGCATTTATTTGATAAGAAAAATACAGTAAAGTAGGACAATTTCATATATTTAAAAATGTGATTGACTGATCAAAGCTGAATTTTCTGCATAATTTCTCCAGTCTTCAGTGTCACATGATCCTTCAGAAATCATTCTAATATGCCGATTTGCTGCTCAAGAACCATTTATTATTATTACCAATGTTAAAAACAGTTTGAAAACCACTTAATATTTCTGTGGAAACCATGGTAATTTTTTTTCAGGATTCTCTTAAGAATAGAAAGTTCATCTATTAGAAATCATTCGTAACATTGTAAATATATTTAACTGTAACTTGATCAAATTAATGCATCCTTGAATAAAAGTGTTAATTCTTTAAAAAAAGAATCTTATTGACCCCAAACTTTTGAACGGTAATAAATATATAAAATTATACGATAATGCACACATTTTCCTTTGTAATGTTTGTTTTTATTTTTCATTTTCATTGTTTTTATAAAAAAAAATCATAAAACTTTGTCTATATAATATCAGTTTACAAAATGCTTTATACAATTCTTAAAATATTTTTTATGTTCTTGTAGGAATACCATCCAAAAATAATCTTTAATATTTATGAACATTAAAAAGTAGTACACCTCTGTTTTTAAAAATGAACAGAACCAACAAGAATGTGGTCACTAATGTAACTTGCGTCTGTGAAATGAAACTTAGGAGTCTGCGACTTCTCCCCTGATGAGAAGCGTAGGATGACCAAACATGTCAGGTGACCACATCCTGGACACAATCAAAACTCTGCAGTGGACCAGTTCGTTTCACACAATAGTTGGCATTTCCCAAGTGTGGACAAGGTGTTTGTATTTTCATTGGACACTATTGCTTATAGGACACTGAATGATGCTAATCTATGTGACATTACATATCACCACAAATACAACAACAGCCCAGCTACCAAATCTCGAAAGTCTCAAGGACATTCTTCTGAAAAATTCATTTGTTTTCCACAGTTAGGGAGGAAAAATTGAGCTTGGCATACTGATGATTGTGGGGTTATTGCTTTTGAGAGGTCTACATTAGTGTAGTTCCTGATCCAGACTTCTTTAAAGGTCCAACTGAGTTGTTTGACTTGCGGGCATTTCATGCAAACACAAATCGATCTTAGATTTTCCATACTATTATCTGCTTTGAACAATCCATTGATGCCAAATAACAGTGGACAGACATAATATATAGACACACAGTAATCACGTGACAGACGCTGACCTCTGCCTCAGATGACCCTGTAATATCACATAGTGGGTGAGGCTTGACTTTTCTGGAGTGTGCTTGTTCATTATTCATTACTTTATGGCTAAATTACATCATTTTTAGGTCTGCAAAGCCTACAAATGGACAGAAATCCCCTGTCAAACCTGGAACGCCTCTCTCCATTGTGAGCACTCTTTCAGAGTTATGACACAATTCAGTAACTGGAAGCGCCTGGACCAGAGCGTGAGCCAGACAGGCCTCCATCCTCCTTAATGTTCTCTCTCCGTCGCTGATGGGTCAGTTTCAAACCCGTGTGCTCAGTCGGCATGCTCTGCCACTTCTCCATCGTCTCGCGTGTCTCTCAGCGGTGAGATGGGACGTCCCACTATCTGCTGTGGATATTGTTGAGTTGTGCGGGCAGCATCTGTTTGTCTTCAATCTCCTCCAGAGCGGTCTCCAGCTGCTGGATCAGCACACGCTTCTTAAACCTGAAAGAGACGGAGAATTTAGCTGGATTTATTTACAGTGTATTAATATTATTATTATATATATTTATATATTATTATCCTATTTTCAGTAAAATATCTAAATAATATAAAGGAAAAAAACGTCCATATTAAGACCAGCGTTCAGAGAATATATCCTATAAGGTTTTTTTTTCACTGATACATTTACTTGTTTGAAGTATGAATATAAGAACATTTAGTGGGGGTTATGCTTAAAACAATAAATAATATTTTGCTTATATAGAGTTTTGCTTCTAACGTAAATCTGTTTTGTTTTAAGAATATTTAAATATTTTTAGAAAACAAAATGACTGATTAAGAAAATTATTTTTGCTGGCTTCTGTGAGCTTCTGCACTAACTTTGGAGAGAATGCTGTGTAATTTTATGCAATGAATTTTGGTATATTAAACAGAGCTCAAAGTCTCGTTATAAGACCCATAGCCTTAATCCAAAAAAAAAATATATATATTTTTTTTTTGGGCTTTTGATTTTGATTTGATTGTACATGTCTGTGACTAAAAATTAAAATGAATAATTATAATAATTATAATTGAATTATAATAATAAAGAGTGAACATGCAAGAGGCAGAGGATCAGTGCTGTTATTGTTAACTAAAACTATTACAAATTATTTTTATTAATTGAAATAAAGCTGAAATAAAATAAAATATAAATATTAGATGAAAAAAATAAACTTGAAAAACTTAAATTAGTGAAATAAAATAAGTTTAAGTGGATTTACTACGATTACTAAAAATAAAACTGAAATAATAGATGAACGCTTATAGTTGCTCATTGGCAACTGATACAGCTTATATAAACATAAACATGTAATTGCAACCAGATTGAGTAAACGACCAATAAGCCTGTGCCATCTAGAGTTTCATGATAGAACTTTGTATTAATAAAAATGACAGAAGCGCATAACAAAATTATTAAGTACAACATACTGACATCCTCTATGGTGTCGTGGGTGAGAGGACCATGAAAGGCATGTGAGTTTTAAAGAAAGCTCTTACCTGGCTGCCTCTTTGATGGCATGAT